CCAAAAAACACAACCCTTTGTGAGTCGAAACTCCGGAGATTGAGAAAATGGTGTAAGCTAATTCATGAGGACAATTTAAATAAACACGATGGGTTTTTTTTCAGTCTTGGCATCTCTTTGAATGTCCCTCTGCTTTGATATTGTGAATATGTGCTATTCTTTATACTGTTTCCACCTTCCCTTAAAATATTAACTTGAATCCACAAGGGTCTGAGAATCAGTGTCTCCAACTTAATCCAATTAGCACACTTCTTCAAACCCCGAAATACTATGTTACCCAGACCTAATCCACATATCAAAAGATAAGGTCTGCAAACACAAAGAGAGTTAATTGAATTAAGTCTCCCGGCAGAATTGTATGTTCACAAGGATTCACACACACACACACACACACACACACACACACACACACACATGCCCCTCAGCACGTAGATACTTCCACACCCCGGGCAAGCTCCCCCTATAAAAGTTTGCCACTGTACCCCATTTCTCTGCAGCCTGCCCCTAAAAGCAAACCATTTTGCTTTTAGGAATAAATATTTCTTCTTGCCTCACAGCGGCCTGGACCTCGTTTTGATTGTGTTTTGGTAGGGGTTTTTATATGGGGTATTTTAGAGCAGGCTTTTTATTTAATATTTATTGTGATTTTTATTATCGCCTGTTCACCGCCCTGAGTCCCGTAAGGGAGATATATAAATTTAAATAATAAATAAATAAATAAATTTATACTTGGGCGACGCCAGCTTAAGTTGGAACCCCGAATTCTTCTTCTGACAGTTCACATCCTGCAGAAGAGGCTCAGAAGCAGATCTGCTGCAGCCTTCATTGCAGAAACGAACTCCGAAAGGGAAAGGCAATCGTGGAGGAATCTGATCTTTGCCCAGCCCAGAGGTTGATCTCTCCACTGTTAGGAGAAGTAAGACCACCATCTCAGGTGGCCTTTCTCGAGAGAGGGAAGAAATAGTGTGATGGAGGCAAAAGAGAAGGTGCTGTCTGAAGCTTATCCCATACACCGCCTCCCTTTGGCTTCTGGCCGCCGACATGATTTATTTATACAAACGTTTTTACACCCCCTGCTTTGACAAATCCAGGCATTTTGCAGTGTTGTAAAAGGGAGAGAGAGAGAGAGAGAGACTAATATATCAACATAAAGCCAAGAGAAATCTAACTATAAATCAGGTAATAAAATCTGCCCGTGAGTGAGTCAGCTTTACCACTTTAAGTGCCCGTATGCCCTGTGGAATCTTAAGAGCAGTCTCAAAGGACGGGAGGCTGGGGGCGCATAGCAAGGTCTCCCAAGTATGGGAACAGCTGCTAAGAAGGACCCACTCTTGGGCTTATTTGAGTATATCTTTCTAGCATGGTTCAAGACCCAGCATCGAAGGTGGTTCTGCAAATATCCCCATGTGTGTGTCTGTGTGTGTGTCTGTGTGTGTGTGTGTGTGTGTGTTTGTGCAAACTTTAAAGTCCATGGACCATACAACCAGTTGTTGGCAATATAGTTGCTACATTTTGGGCCTGAAATGTGCATCATTTTGAGACTGGAAACACAGAGTAGAGTAGAGTAGAGTAGAGTAGAGTAGAGTAGAGTAGAGTAGAGTAGAGTAGAGTAGAGTAGAGTAGAGTAGAGTAGAGTAGAGTAGAGTAGAAGAATAGAATAGAATAGAATGGAAGGGAATGGAATAGAAGGGAAGGGAAGGGAAGGGAAGAGAAGAGAAGAGAAGAGAAGAGAAGAGAAGAGAAGAGAAGAGAAGAGAAGAGAAGAGAAGAGAAGAGAAGAGAAGAGAAGAGGAGAAGAGATTGCAGAATAGAACAGAACAGAAGAGAATTAGAGTAGAATGGATAGGATGGGATGGGACGGGACGGGACAGGACGGGACGGAACAGAACAGCATTGAATAGAATCTTTCTCGCAAGCCTTCTTTCCTGGCTCTTTTTTCTCCCCTTAAAAATGTAAAACAGACACGCACACACAAATACACCTACACATTCAGTCCGTTGGACTTCAAGCAGCTGAAATGTTCCACGGCTCCTTTCCACAACCTGCTTTCCCTGCTTTGTCAAACTCCTAATGATGCTGCTTCAATCATTCTACCAGGAGGCCCCGGGCCGCATCTGCCTGATGGATGTTGCCCAGCAGCTTTGCAGAAAAAAAACGAAGCTGTTCTGCGCTTGTCGCAGAGGTCTTGTTTCACAGCATTCTTTTAAAAAAACAAAACACGGCCGTGTGACGTGGACTGATGCTTGAGTAATAGCTTTTTCGGTCGTGAAATGTCTCTAAAGCATCCGCTTCCATTTTTCCTGGAATTAAGGAGAAACTTCCTGACGGTGAGGACAATCAACTAATGGGACAGCTTCGCCTTCAAAAATCGTGGCTGCTCCATCAATTTTTAAGAAGAGGCTGGACATTCACCTGTCTGAGACGGTACAGGTTCTCCTGCTTGAGCAGGGGGCTGGACTAGAAGACCTCCAAGGTCCCTTCCAGCTCTATTCTATTCTAATTCCAATTCTTTTCATTTAATTCGGTGCATTGGACCAATACAGGTTAAGGGCTTAGTTTAGAATTCAGAGTGTTGGGCAATACCCAGATATTAAATCCAATAAACCAAGGTTCGATTAATGTGAGGTAAATATGCTGCTAGTCCTCAGCGTACAATCGCAACTGGGGCTCAGAATTTCCACTGTTAAGTAAGGCAATTGCTGAGTGAGTCACATCCAATTTTACAACCTCCCTTTGCTAGGATTGTTAAACGACTCACCACAACTGTTAAGTGACTCACACACTTGCCCCACTGACTTTGCTCCTCAGAAGCCCTCCGAGAAGGTCACAAACGGGGACCACATGAGCCAGGATGCTGCAACCATCGTAAATACATCCTGGTTGCCAAGCACCCAAATTTTGACCTTGCTGCTGTGATTGTGAGTGTGAGGATGTGTCATAAATCACTTTTTCTCAGTCCTATTGCAATTTTGAACGGTCGCTAAACATAGGGGTTAAAAATTGAGGAGTATCTGTAGAGCACAAACTCAGCATTTAGGTATGTCTCTAGGGATCCCCCTAGTCCTCTCCATGCTTTCAAGCCACATCCTATTCGCAGGGTAGAATTTCAACAGAATTTGGACACACACACACCCAGTTAGCAATCCATAAATCAAAACAGCCTTGCAGAAGACCCCCTAAAAGCACAAGTATTTATTTTTTGCTCATGTGTAAAAACAAAAAGAAGAAGAGGAAGGCAATGGCCTTTCCCAAAGCTAACTTTAGCCACGTTTTCCTTGGGGCTAAATTTAAATCTATAATTAAGACCAAGAGAAAGGGATGTGGATGTCTCTTCTTAATAGGTCTGCTATTTCTAGAAAAATAAAAATAAAAAAAAAACAACAGCTCAGCAGGCTTCTGGCTTCTCTTATTTCCTGAGCGTAATGCAGCGGGTTGTGTGTGTGTGGGGGGGGGTTGATTTATAGATTGGTTCGTCCCCCCCCCTGGGATTTTTGTGCTCAAAACCCCTTTGAAAACCGAGCTGCAAAGAAGAGGTGAATTGCCCACAAGAAGGGCGATGAATTTCAGCGATGGAGTGAATTATATCAGCCCTCGAAGGAGGCGACTGGCGAAAGGATCCCTAGGGGATCACGGCAGCGCTCCATACACGTCTACAGTATCAACACAGTGCATTAAAACGAAGCAATTCCAACGTTAGACTTCTCTACAGCCTCGGGAGGAATCTGAAATGGTTCCAGAGGTTGCTGAACTACAAAAGCTAGCATCCTCCACCACTGGATAGGCTCTGGAGTCTCACCACAGCTGGAGGACCACCCCCAGGCTTCTCATGGACTAACTCAAGCCCGTGGCATAATGTGATTTATTTCCCATTTTAAGGGAGGAAGAAAAAGCCAGAGAGAGGGTAGAATTATAGGGAGAATAGCCCTACCTAGGAACAAGGCCTTAGGGTTCATTCAAATCAAGCCAAGCCAGCTTCGATTCATCTCCAGATACGTCTGGAAGAAGTTCTCCCTATAATCTGGAGGGAGGTGTTAAGAGAGGGGGGGCAAGCTTAAAGTCCTTGCAATGCAGAAGGCAGCAAAGGCCCGACTTCCCCAGAAATCCTGAAGCCTTGTATGACCAATTCTCAAGGAAATGCAGTCCGTTTGGTGACATTCTCGTAACGTAGGTGAGCAGCGATAAAGTTCCTGCTGGAGACTGTTCGCGAGCGATTTTGGTTGCCTGCACCTCACCTCCGTTCGTGTAAAGGAACGGTGTATTTATAAATATAATGTAAATGCTTGTCTTTAAGAAGAGGAGATGATCGGCTAGTACCCCTAAACTGCATCCGAGGTGGTGGAAAAGAAGGTGATGGGATGTGTAGGATAGTTGGAAAGGAGGAAAGAGGAGAGGTCGTGGCTAAGAGGGGGAGGAAGGAAGAGGGAAGTAGGTAGGAAGGTTGAGGGAGTGTGGATGCAGGGGGGGGGACCGCCGATTATTTCTGAATATTTACTGAGTAGGCTTGTTATGTGTTTGTTTTTCTAATGAAATGCACCATATTTGTATTATTTGTTTATATGTTTATTTGAAAAATTAATAAAAAATTTGTAAAAAAAAAAAAGGAAGCCCCGCCCTTGTTTTTAAACATGTGACAACGTGGCCCCCGTCTTGAGTTTTGGGACTCTCTTAGAGGACGCTCTGACCCTGTGGCAGTGTCTGCCATTTGAGTGATAGGTCCCTAAGGTAGATTACAGTGGTTTTGATGGGATTCAACTCAAGACTTGTTATGAAGTTTGTTTCTGATCCCCCCCATTCTTGGCTTTTCTTGGAATGGATGTTTGGGTGGCAGAGAGGGGACCCCCTCCCCACTGCCTCAGTGACCCCGATGAAAAGGTAGAACAGCAACCCTCTTGATTGTTTTGTTTCCAGAGATTCAGTTCTGGTGGCGCAAGTGGTCTAAGCTGGCGGTTGGGATGAATGAAACTGAGTCAGCCCCGTCGTGGAAAAATTAAGAACTCTGAATTTATTCATTAGAACTTCAATTTACATAATTTCAGACCTTCCTTTCCCATGCTGGCAGAAGGTACCTTGTGTGTCATTCTTCTGCTTGGCGCGAGGACCTCCCGTCCATTGGCCAAGGTGAAAGCTTTCCACCTATCTTGTTTCATTGTTGGTCCCATTTAACGGTGGCAATCATGAATCGGACACCTTTGATTGCAATACAATTGTCCCTGAGCTCTTTCTCATAAATCAATCAAACACCCCATGATTTTGGACTTGTGCCTCGCTCAGCTCAGATAGGGAAGCGTCACACCAAAGAACCACACCTAGGAAGGCGCCACAGATCTATAATGGATTCATGACTGAGCCTGGCCATTCGCTCAGACAGCTAGGAGGAGCCAGAGAATTGGCCAACCAAACAAGACAAGAGCAGAGGAAGAAATACACTGGCAACAAGAGAAGAACCACCACTGATGGTGGCATCACGGGAAGCATAGACGGTGCGGCCATGAAGAAGCTGTAAAGGACGGAAGTTGTTGACCATTTTCTGTGGTGTCCCAGCTGAACTTTTGAAGTACGTGGTGTCCACAAACATATTCAGCTAAAACAAGGGAAAGAGAAGAAAGAGAAGGGGAGGAGTGCTCTACAGCCAACCCAATACCTCTGTACATTTGTCAATCGGTGGTCATCCATCTTGACCACACTGAAATGTGGACAGTTTTTGTTGGAAATGAAAAGACCCGCTTCGAATGTGAGGATGGAGGCAGCGTGGTGGTTACCTGAGATCTGCTGATGGGGATCTGCTCTTCGAATACTGTCCAGGTGACCGCTTCATCACAGTTTGGTGTGGTGAGAGATCCTTTGTAGCGGTAATATTTGGACAAGGAAGCTAAGCTGGGGAGAAGATTGCTCAAGGAAAAGGTGGATGCCATGTCAACATATTCTCCTAGGCAAAAGCATAACCATGATTGGTAGTGGAGGAGAAGAAGAAGAAGAAGCTCCATTCTGGATTGGTGCAGGATAAGATGAAAGGAAGTTAACACGGTTGTGTGACAGACACCCAGTACTCATTCAAAGAAAGCACAGGAGGTGTGATGTTCTCACCTCAGAATCTCCGAAGGTGTTGAGGGCTCCCAATTGATTTGGCCTCCCGATAGGACTACAGCTCCTCAGGTTACTAAAGGACTCGTGACAACAATTTTGAGCTAGGAATTGGGCTCCCTGTCCCACCCACCCACCCCCCAGAAATCTAGAGTATATCTTACTCAGTCCAGAGGACCTACTTCAGAACACCCATGAGCACCAATAATGATGTGTTTCATGAAAGCAGCTGCATCTTATTCCAGGCTTGAATAGCTGCAGTTGAAGCCTCCCTACAGCATCCATGCACTCCGGGGGGGGGGGAGACATAGCTGCTTTAATGAGTCATAGACAGCTGCTTTAATGAGGCATAGACAGAAGAAGCATTCATCTTCCAGGGCTTGGATAAGATGCTCACCTGCACGAGTGATGTTTCTCAGGCTGGCAACGACAGTGTTGTAATTAGTATTATCAGTGTCTGCTACCTGCGTGATAACGGGAAGAAGTCAGTTCTACAACCTGCAAGGTAGCCAAAGGCAGAAAAAGTAGGTGGACATCTATTGTCCTCTACAGAGGACGACCAGTTATTTGAAAGGCTGTTTTTTTTCCCCAACTCTGGTTTAAATAATAACAACAACAAAACAAGCCGTTCTTGAAGCTGTCCACCCAAGGTAGAAGCAGCTGGACATCACATTAAAACTGATCCAAAGAATCCTAATCCTTTATTTCTGGATATTAAACCTAATCAAAGGAATGTGGGGTCCTTGGTACTCTCTGACCTTGGTGGTTTGCTTGTAGACATCATTATCCAGGGAGCAAGCCCACATTCACTACTAGCACTGATGTTGTTATCTAGTTGGGTCATGAAAGGTCTCCAAGCCCAAGAGCACCAAGGATCCCACTGTTCAATCCTGAACTTCTATTCTAATCAAAGAAATTCAAAATGAGTCATGCTTCTCTGGTTCACGTTGCGCCATTAGAGCTTAGCAGCTAGGATAAAATTGTGAATTTGGGGGGGGGGAACCCTGAAAAGTTCTTGTTACAGCCTACAGAAGCCACGACTGAAGGAATTGTACCCCCAGGCTTCAGAAGCTCATAACATAAACTTTTTCATGAGAAAATGTTGACCTAATGGCAAGTATATATTTGTGGGACCGTACCTTGAACAGAAAACTCAGGACAGCGAACCCATTTGGATGTTGCTTAGCTTCATTGATGGTTTTGCATTTGATGTTCATGTGTACGATGTGCAGCTGTGAATAAAGGAACAGAAGGACCGATAAAGGAACATTTCTCTATCATTCAGCTTCTCCTCAATTCATTCCTGTCTCCCCATTGTCTTTGTTCCTAAGTAGCCAATATTTAATCTCTAGTCCCAAGGGTGCTTTTTCAAGAGGCAACTTGACTTCCTTTGTTTTTGCTTGAAGACATTTAGCTTCTCATCCAAGAAGCTTCTTGAGTTCTGAAGAAGTGAAGAAGTTCTGAAGAACTAGAAGTTCTGAAGAACTGAAGAAGCTTCTTGGATGAGAAGCAAAACGTCTTCAAGGAAAAACAACAGAAGTCCAGTTGCTTCTTGAAAAAACGTGTTTGGGACAACTATGATCTGGAGGACTGAGAATCACCATAGACATTTAATCCCTACACACACAAAATGTCTGCAGAGAGTTTCCCGTAGATGTTTTCCCCTTTCTCTTCCCCCCCCCCTCCCAAAATTATGTCCACGTTTGCAAAATTCATAATTTTCATAAAGAAACCTTCACCAACCACTGCAGGAAGAGATAGGCGGTTTTGTCTGTCTTGTCATTGGGACTTCAAAAAACAGGAGAAAAAAAGAGATTTTGAGTTGTTTTTCCAGGTTTTTCACCATATTTGGGGGCAATTAAGGGTGAAGTCCTTAATAGAACATGTTAATGTCCGGTGTCTTTGCCCTCTTTCCTGCTGACATCTATGGGTGGGGAATATTTGCTAAATGATTACTTGTAAGTCAAGAATTATTTTTACAGGATTCTGGCTCATGCAATATACATGCTGAGGACTTTAAGAGGGCTTCACACACACACACACCCTAAAAATTCTGCTTTGTCATTTAGTAAATTTAATATCTGAGGGCCAGGTGTTAAATTTACTAAAATGGTACATTTCTGTGACTTTGTCAGAAGACTGTGTATCTGAATATTCCCAAGTTTCATGGTTTTAAGACAGGGTCCCGCCTTTATTTCTAGATGGACCTAAACAGATCAACTGCACACAGCCATTAAAAGATAAATAAATAATAACATCTCAAAACAAAACAACAGCCCATATTTAATACAGTCTAATTTTATAGTTCTCAGGGCTAAGGGGTTGTAGCCACATTAATACCACGATGTTGGACTGAAGTCCTCCTTGGCGCTCTAAAGGGATGCAATGGGGAAAGTAAGGAATACATTGGATAAAATAAAAGCTGAGCTGGAACAGCTGCCCGGTTCACAACTATCCAAGGAGGGCAAGGCAAAGACGCCGTGAAATCTGAAAGCCCGTCGTGCTGGTTTGTAAATGATGAACGGAGAAGGCAATCTCTGAACCCTGGAAAAGGTCACGGAAGCTTCTGAAAAGCAATAACATCCCGCCCGCCGGTTCTCCAGCAACTCACTTGACGGCTAAACTCCCTAAAATGAAATGACAGAGGGCGCAAGGTCAACCTCAGCTGCTCAAAAGCCCCTTTGATGTCTACGCCACGATGAAGAGTTGGATTGTGTTTAGTGAAGTGGACCAAATGGAGGGGCCTCTCAAGCCGGCCTTAATTAATAGCTGCTTTCTTTGAAAAAACAGAGAAGTCATTTCGGGTTGCTGACTGCACGCTGTTGAATCGGGTGGCGTTCCCTTTGAACAAGCTAGTCCAGGAGAGGTTTACACCCCCAGCCCCCCTTTGCACATTTAGAAGAAAAAAAACACAAAAAACTAAGCCGTTCTTGGAACGGGCCTGATTAAAACTGTGCTGAGGATCTTTTTTCTTCTTCTTCTTCATTGTGAGTTAAATGGACTGGCCTGTGCGGACTCACAACCATCATCTCAGAAAAAAACAGAAGAAAAAATACTGATATTCTGTCAATCAGAGTAGATAAAAAGAGATAAATAGAAGACAGAAAGATAGAAAGATGGATGGATGGATGGATGGATGGATGGATGGATGGATGGATAGATAGATAGATAGATAGATAGATAGATAGATAGATAGATAGATAGATAGATAGATAGATAGATAGATAGGGAAGGCAGAGAGAGAGGAGAGAGGGGGAGAGGGAGAGGAGGAGAGAGAGAGGGAGAGAGAGAGAGATGGGTGGAACAATAGATGATAGATAGATAGATAGATAGATAGATAGATAGATAGATAGATAGATAGATAGATAGATAGATAAGCAGGCAGAGAGAGAGAGGAGAAAGGGGGAGGGGGAGAGGGAGAGAGGGAGAGGGAGAGAGAGAGGGAGGGGTGGAGGGAGGGGTGGAACAATAGATAGATGATAGATAGCTATAAACACTTATTCACCAAAAGCTTTCTAAATGTACTTTGCACTAAGCTTGTATAACCATAAACAGCACAGTATATACTTCTCCTTCCTTCCTTCCTTCCTTCCTTCCTTCCTTCCTTCCTTCCTTCCTTCCTCCCTTCCTTCCTTCCTTCCTCCCTCCCTCCCTCCCTCCCTCTCTCTCTCTCTCCAGCTTTGTTCCTATCTATTTGATGACCATCCCAAAAATAACCCATGTCATACTAGATGCTCTTCGGCATTGTTTCAGCGGCACCTGAACCTGCTACCAAAACCCAACGCTTAACTTACTTCCATGGGATACTGTATCCCATCAATGTAGTGTTCGGAGCCATTCCTCTTGAGGTCCCCCCAGTGGAAGTGGAACTGCAAGGCCCGGTAGGTGTCCCTCAGACCTCCTCTGGTGATGTTGATTTGCTCGGCAGCAGAGGCTCCATCCAAGGTCATTTTGACTAGAGGGAAAAGTCAACGGGTAAACACAGTTTCAGAGGCAAAAAAGGACCAGCCTACCCACCTGGGAGCTAACCAGGCTTCCTCACCCCTTCCAGCCTTCTGAGAGAGAGAAAAAATTAGAGGAGCTCTAAGTCAGAAATCTGGGTTTGGGTTCAAGGTTGGGGAAGACGCCTGCAGAAGAAATCCCAACCTCATTGGCCCACCTTCGTCGCCATTGTTCAAGAGTCTCCATCTGCCCGGCGGCGCCTGGTCATAGCCTTCAAACAGAATTTCATCCAGGCTCCGGTCCCGTCGCACTTTCCTTCGATCGATGTTAATGGGAGACTGGTTCTGTCCCCCGCATCCTGACGTGATCTCCTTCCAGTGAGAAGGGCCTAAAGAGACCAGGAGAACATTGCAGGGCAAGGACTTTGCACAAGTAGCTTGCCTTGATTTTTTTAAAAAATTATATCCAGCCCTGATTATTTTTATAAATAATTCAAGGTGGCGAACATACCTAATACTCCCCCCCCTTCTTCTATTTTTCCCAGAACAACGGTGTGAGGTTAGTTGGGATGAGAATGAATGAGACTGGCCCAAAGTCACCCAGCCGGCTTTCATGCCCAAGGCAGGACTAGAACTCACTGTCTCCTGGTGAGTGGCCCAAAGTCACCCAGCCAGCTTCCATGCCTAAGGCAGGACTAGAACTCACCGTCTCCTGGTGAGTGGCCCAAAGTCACCCAGCCAGCTTCCATGCCTAAGGCAGGACTAGAACTCACCGTCTCCCGGTGATTGGCCCCAAATCACCAAGCTCACTTCCATGCTTAAGGCAGCAAGCTGGCTGGGGAATTCTGGGACTTGAAGTCTACGTATCTTAAAAGTTCTCAAGGTTGAGAAAGACTAGCATAGTTTGAAGGACTCTTGGTCAAATGCCCTCTTGGCATCTATTAGCCACTTCTGCTTGCAGTTGGCTTCAAAACAAGGCAACGCCCATTATCATGTCCAGCAATCCTTCAGAAATCTCCCAGAGATTCTTTTTGTAAGCCTCCTTTTCCTTTAGCTAATTTAATCAACCTGTTAAACCACTTTCTGAAGTCCCTCTTTTGGCCCAGCCAAGCTCCCAGATTGGTAAAACTCTTTTGAGAAAGAACCAGTAGGACCGACGATTGCTTGGATAGGAAGTTGTGGAGCTTCAATTATTTCCCAGATTGTACACAATACACAATGTGGGTCATGAATAGATCTTTCTCTACTTCACCTGTACAGAACATAACAGAATAGAACAACAGAGTTGGAAGGGACCTTGGAGGTCTTCTAGTCCAGTCCCCCCACTCAAGCAGGAGAACCTATCTCAAGTGACCATCTAGTCCAGGGGTAGTCAACCTTGGCTCTTTTATGACTCGCGGACTTCAATTCCCAGAATTCCTGAGCCAGCATGGCTGGCTCAGGAATTCTGGGATTTGAAGTCCACGAGTCATAAAAGAGCCAAGGTTGACTACCCCTGATCTAGTCTCTTCTTAAAAACCTCCAGTGATGGAGCACCCACAATTTCTGGAGGCAACTGTTCCACTGCACGGAAGGCATTCTCCGTACCTATTTCTTTGCCACCCAGATCGACGTTCCTTGCTCTCAGTTATGACAACCTTGATGTAACAACAGGAAAAGGACTTTTTTTTCTTCAACCTTTCCATCCAGCCTTGGTTAAACGGAAGCGATATATTGATCCTGTTTCTGAAAGCAGGATTCTGGTATAGATCAACAAACTCTGCCAGCAAATTGGTTATCTACAGTCAACCGAATCATTAATTTTCCTTTGTTGTTCCTTGCACTTTTCTCTTGCAACGGTCTTCATTAAACTTCACAAGAGGGTTTGGCTTATTTATAATTCAACAGGATTTCCTTGCTGGGCCTATATTTAGTCTGACAGATAAAACGAGCTGCTTTAGCATCTGTGACTTTTTCTAAAGAGCGCCAGATCCAATCTTATTCTGTTTTACTTTCGGCCTCTCTGTGTTGTTGGCTCCTCACCAAGAGATAAGCAACGTGGACTTGTGGGTATCTATCTTAGTGCTCAGTAGCCTCATTTTTCCACCTGACTATTTTGGGATAAGTTTATTTTTAATAGTAATAAAAAAATCAAACAAGGAAGCCGAGACTTTTTTTTCCCCCAAAAAAAAAGCTTCTGGGTTCCAAATAGATTCCAGATAAAATAAGAAGATGCCACTATGAGTCAGAGTTTCGTTTAGATGTCAACCCATCTGGCTAGGAAAAAAAAATGAAGATGTAGAAAGAAAGCCAGTTTGGTAGAGTTGGACCTCCCCCAAAGGAACGATGGAAGGGGGCTGCCTGGTTTATGACTCCGGGTGTGGATGTTTTAAGGCTGTGTCTGCACATCTGGCACCCACTGATGGTCTTAAAAATTCATAAATGCCCGTGAAAGATGGGAGTTTTTGTTCTTTGTAAAACGTGAACTTTTCTTTAAAAGTAGAATATTCTAAGCAGCTGATCAGCCTCACTGACACTGGAACAGCATTAAAAGTAGGAGCTTCTGATAGGCATACATAATTTTAAAAAGTGAAGATGGAGGAGGAGGAGGAAGAGAAGGAGGAAGAGGAGGGGAAGGGAGTAAATGGGTGAAGAAAAGAAGGGATGGGATGGGATGGGATGGGATGGGATGGGAAGGGAAGGGAAGGGAGTAAATGGGTGAAGAAAAGAAGAGAAGGGATGGGATGGGATGGGATGGGATGGGAAGGGAAGGGAGTAAATGGTGAAGAAGGGAAGGAAAGGGAAGGGGAAGATGGAATGAGAAGTGGAGCTGAAATAAACACAGAACAGTCGCACTGTTCATTTCATGAATACTTTTGAGAGTAAAGTATGTTCTGATTGAAATACGAATATAAAGCAAAATTAGAGTTTGATTCACATAATCCCTAGTTAAATATAAAACCTAAATATAAAGCCTCTACCCAAGAATCACTAATACTTGCTTCATATTGTACTGGTAAGAATGTCTTGCAGTATCTCCCATTACGTCACACCCAATTTCCCAACCTGTTTTTCCTCCGGACGCATTGGGACTACGACTTCCACTAGCCAGGCTGGCTGAGAGCCATGGGAGATGCGTTCTTATTGCATCTGAAGGTACCCTGTTGGGGAAGGGTATCACAGACTACAGGTGAGCGGTACCTTTAGCAAAAATCTTTCCAAGGAGTATCTTCAGAAATCTGTCTCCAGTACTCACCACATTTAGGATCCAGGGAATCGTAGCACCAAAGGCCTGGAAAAGTAGGAGACGGAAGGGTGGAGAAGAGAAAATGTGTATTAGCAAAAATAGAAAAATAAAAACTAATAAAGAATTAACTCTGGTAGTGGTCCCATGGATGCTTTTTCAAAAGGCAACTGGACTTTGTTTTTCCTTGCTTCTCATCTCAGAAGCTACTTCGGTTCTGACGGAATGGTGGAGAAGGGAAGGATTTGTACTCCTTGCAAATCCTTCCATTCTCCACCACTCAGTCGGAACCGAAGAAGCTTCTTGGATGAGAAGCAAAACATCTTCAAGGAAAAACAAGAAAGTCCAGTTGCCTTTTGAAAAAGCACCTTTGGGACCACCATGACCTGGATGACATTTAACTCTAGTGGTTAATTGGATTAAAATTAAAACAGCACCGAAGCAAGAAAAAGATTTTGATTGAGATTGTCTTTTGGAATAGAATAGAGCTGGAAGGGACCTTGGAGATCTTCTAGTCCAGCCCCCCACTTAAGCAGGAGAACCTATGCCATCTCAGACAAGTGACTGTCTAGCCTCTTCTTAAAAATCTCCAGTGATGGAGCAGCCACGATTTCTGGAGGCAAGCTGTTCCACTGGTTAATTATCCTCACTATCAGGAAGTTTCTCCTTAATTCCAGGTTGCTTCTCTCCTTGATCAGTTTCCATCCATTGTTTCTTGTCCTGCCCTCTGGGTGCTTTGGAGAATAACGTGACCCCCTCTTCTTTGTGGCAGCCCCTCAGATACTGAAACACTGCTATCATGTCTCCCCTATTTTTTTCTTTAGACTAGCCAAACCCAAGTCCTGCATCCATTCTTCATAAAAATCTGATTGTCCATCTTCTTCCTGCTCCTTATACTCCAGTTAATTAGGGAGGTGTCTGTCTGCGCCACTTCCAAATGAACGGTTGCGGGAACTGGGTACGTCTAGTCTAACTAGATAGGATAGTGGTCTTCCAATATTTGAGGAACTGCCACAGAAACGAGGGAGTCAACTTATTTGCCAACACATCAGAGAGCAGGAGGAGAAGCAATGGGTGGAAACCTATCAAGGAGAGAAGCAACCTAGAATTAAGGAGAAATGTCCTGACAGTGAGAACAATTAATCAGTGGAAAGGCTTGCCTTCAGAAGTTGTGGGTGCTCCATCACGGGAGGTTTTTTTAAGAATAGACTGGATGGCCATTTGTTCCTGCTTGAACAAAGCAGTGGGGTTGGACTAGAAGACCTCCAAGGTCCCTTCTGAGCCTACTATTCTGTGTTCTAAATTCCTACTGTGACCATTAGTCAACACACTTCTCTCTCCTTGTAAGTTTCCACCCATACCAAATATCACTCACAGCTCTCCACCCCTTTGTTTCGTAGCAGAACTGAAGGGCCAAGAAATCTCATGTCATTTTTAGCTGAGCAAAAGTCAGGAAGAGTTGGTCTAGCTTTTCATCCAATTTCCCTCCCCCAGATAAGGCTTAAAATTGGGTTGCAGAAGAGAGAGGCAGAGATCAATTTCTTTTAAGAAAAAAAAAATAAAAAAAAATAAACCCTCCGAAGTAAACCACGGTGGCGCATCCATCCCTCACACTTTAGGGACCGAGGTTCCCTCCAGTTGTCTCTCTGACAATCATGCCTGATTTAGCTTTATTGCTTGCAATCCGAAATCATCAGGAAGAGAGCCGGGAAATCAATGGCGTAATGGAAAACTAACATCGGGAACTTTTAACTGAGCTGAGCTCGTTAAAAAAAAAAAAAATATCGGACTTTTCTCTCTTGATTGATCAGTTTGTGAGTTAGAAGGTCTGGAGAGAAGCTCAGAGGAAAAAATATGGCAGGTAACCATCAAGAAGATGCATCTGGAAA